TTGTTCATGGACGACGATGTTGGCGATCCATTAGATAATCTTGTCGCGGCCAAGAAGAAGCAGCAACCATCAACTGGCGCCTCAGCAGCGGCTGGCAACACAAAAACGGCGCCAAATGCCAAAGCAGCGAAGCAGCCAGCGGGCACAGCCTCAGCAGCCGCCGCGAACAAAAAGCCAAATCAAGCCGAAAAGGAAAACAAACCAGGTGCACTCAACAAAAATGATGGCAAGAAAACGGCACAGGGCAACAACAACAATGACAAACTGAATGGGAAACAAGGTGGGGCTGGGGCTGGCTCGGCGGTCGCTGCGCGCAAAACACGTGAAACTGGTCAAGGGCAGCAACAACAACAACAACAGCGCAATGTCAATTTTCGTCAACAGAATGGAGGAGGTGGCGGTGGCGCCGGGGGTGAGGTAACGCGCGAGCAGCGCAACAATCGCCGCAACGTGCGCGAAAATGGCGCTCCAGGTGGCAACTCTGGCAATTCGACTGGTGCCGATGGCAATCCTCGACCATACCGCGCCTCCGGCGGCTTTGGTGGCGATCGGCCACAGCGCCAGAATCGCAACTTTGAGGGCAACAATCGTAAACGTGAATTTGATCGTCAATCCGGCTCTGATAGAACTGGTGAGCTATATGCAGTTACATGTATATCTAAATATATGTTATATATAGATATACAAATATGTATATCTCTGTTTATATATATATATATATATATATATATATATATATATATATATATATATATATACATATATATATATATATATATATATATATATATATATATATATATATATATATATAGGTTTTATTATTATTATTTCTGATTATTCCTAACCCCAAGAGGTTTACCCCTACTAATTACACTCGGGCACGGGCGCATTTCTTGATTTTACTCATTCAGAATTCATATTTTAGAACTGTAAAGAAAAGAAATGAGCGTGGCGCACATTTCTTTAGCCTCACTCACAAAACACACTGTATAGAAATATGTTTAAAAATAGTTTGATTCTACTACGGGCCCCCTCCCCCGCAACCAACCCACAAAGCACATCAGCCTTATACATGGCTATCCCACACAAGTTTTCCACGCCATGGAACATTTCTTAGAAGGGGGGCAACGAACACACACATAACCGTGGGGCACTAGAGGTGCTCGAATATGTTATAGATTTTGCTCAGGAACTAAAGAAACTGTCATTTTATAAGCATTATTTATTTTAAAAAATAATAATAATAATAATAATAATTCCAAAAGCTTGTCATATAGAGGTCAACACTTTCCAGCCCCTAGTTTCTTATCAAAGATTTTCCACTATAATCTAGAACCTGATAAGATTCAATTTACACTAACCAATTCGAATAGACTGATGTAAAGGAATATATATGTATATTTATATGTATACATTATATAATTATATATATATTTTTTTTTTTAATAAAAAACCAGGTGTCAAGGCAATTGATAAACGCGATGGAGCTGGCGCTCACAACTGGGGTTCGGTTAAGGAGGCCATCGATGATGTTAACAAGAGCAATGAAGGCGGCAACAACAATGAGTCAAACGCAAACAACTCAAACAATACCGAAGGCAAAGCCGACGAATCTGGTAATGAGCAATCGAACGAACAAACACCGCCAGAAGAAGAGACCAAAGAGCTGACCCTAGACGAATGGAAGGCCCAACAGCAGCAGCGCATCAAGCCCAAGTTCAACATACGCAAAGCCGGCGAAGGTGGGTTGAATATAGATAAGGAATATATGATCAAAGTAAAGCTGGACAATAATTATAGTCTATTATATATTGGGTATTAAGAGTACGAACAATTGAACTAGTTTAGTTAACTAAATACTATAGTTATAAATACTCTTCATCCAATATTTAATTTCAAGCATTCTTGTATACTAGACGTATATGTCTCCGATCTATAATTCGAAACTTAAATTACAATTTAATATATGTATCTTATGCTGCAGGTGAGGACACGTCGCAATGGAAGAAAATGATTGTGCTGAACAATAACAAAAAGAAGGAGAACGAAAGCGAAGAGGAACTTGAATACGATCCTGCCATGTATCCGCAACGCGTCGGCCGTCAGCAGCGCGTCCTTGACATTCAATTCAACTTCAACGACGGTCGCCGTGGCGGCGGCGCCGGCAACTTCAATGGACGCGGTCGCAACGGACCACGCGGCGGCGGACCACGCAACGAGGGCAATCGTGGCGGACCGCAGCAGAGCGGTGGACACCAAGGCGGCAACAATGCCGATGGCGGCAACGCGGATCGCAGCGGTGGCAATGGCTCATCTGTTCGTGCCGATGGTGGTAACCGGCCGCCGATTGAGCGTCGCGGCTTGGGCGGCGGCATTGGAGGCGGACATGCTGGCAAGCGTTTTGGCAACGAGCGGCAACAGAATGCTGCACCCAAGGTCAACGATGAGCGTCAGTTCCCAACGCTCGCCTAAGCTGAATATGGAGATTAAATTTTGGAAGAGCAGAGAGGAGCTGAGGTTGGGAGGCGCTCGATAGAGCCGCCGGGGCGTGCATTCAATTTTTAAGAGTTGGTGTCTGCAGATTAGGAGCAGGAACAGATAACCAATATATATATCACTCACACTCACACCCACACTCATACACACACCCACACACACACAAACATATGAACTGTAAGCAAGAGTTGAAAAATTTGATTTCATTTTAGGCGGCCGCAGCGCAGCCAAAGCCAAAAGCAACAAAAACAAATAAATTTGAGAATGAGAAAAACAATAAGAGCAAATGAAAGAAATTATAAATATATATACAATTAAAATATATATATATATCTATATATATACATGAGAAGAAAACCAAACTGTAAATCATAAGCAAAAGCAATTTAGAGAGCAAAAACTAAAGAGCCAAGTTTCTATTACTATGACACGCATTGTAAATTTGTTTATTATTTCAATTTTTTTCATTTTTATATTTTCTTTGCACTGTTTCAAATTTGATAATATCATACGAGTACAGTTCGCTTTCCAGTGAGAAAATTGAAAAACATCACGAACTAAACTTTTCTCATCGATGGGAAGCCAATTAATCATGCAAAAAAAACAAAACCCATTTAATTTTGTTAAAAATAAAACACATTTTTATATGTATACGCCCTCATATAAAAATGCATTTTCTTTTTTTTTTTTTTTTAATTTTTACTGTGTTAAAATTGTATTTTAAAAATTAATAAATGAACAAAAACGAAAAAAAAAAAAACGCAAAACTTTGTAGTCCACAAAAATAGAAGAAAAACTATACAAAAAAAGTGTTAAAAACTTGTAATTGTGTTTCTTAAAAAAAAAAAACCTTAAAATACTATATGTATACAATTATATATATACGTATACCGCTATGATGCATGCTCTATTATATTATAAAAACAAATTAATATGCATCATATATAATAAATTTAATCAAAGCACCCACACACACACACACGCTGACAAACAATTTAAATTTAAGCCTTATACAAAATAAATAAAAAATTTATATTAACTATTGGAGCAAAATATATATTAAAAAAAAAAACCTTACTAGTAGTAGAGCTAAACACAAACATCCACAAACATGCGACTATCGCTTTCAAGGCAAAGTAAGAAGTAAAAAAAAAAAACGAAAAAATAAAAACAGAAAATAAACAATTAAAACACAGGAAGAAAAAACCAATCCCAAAATCATGTAATCTGTAAAGTTTTATGCTTTTACAATTAGAAATTGTATAAAAATATCTCTTAAAAATAAAT